CGATTATCCGGAATTCCGATTATCCGGAATTCCGATTATCCGGAATTCGATTATCCGGAATTCCGATTATCCGGAATTCGGATTATCCGGACTTCGGATTATCCGGACTTCGGTTTATCCGACTTCGGTTTATCCCGACTTCGGTTTATCGGACTTCGGTTTATCCGGACTTCGGTTTATCCGGACTTCGGTTATCCGGAATTCGGTTTATCCGGACTTCGGATTATCCGGACTTCGGATTATCCGGAATTCGGATTATCCGGAATTCGGATTATCCGGACTTCGGATTATCCGGACTTCGGTTATCCGGACTTCGGTTAATCCGGATTCGGTGTATCCGGACTTCGGTTTATCCGGACTTCGGATTATCCGGAATTCGGATATCCGGACTCGGATTATCCGGACTTCGGATTATCCGGACTTCGGATTATCCGGATTCGGATTATCCGGACTTCGGATTATCCGGATTCGAATTATCCGGACTTCGGATTATCCGGACTTCGGATTATCCGGACTCGGATTATCCGGACTTCGGATGTCCGGACTTCGGACTTCGGATTATCCGGACTTCGGATTATCCGGACTTCGGATTATCCGGAACCAATGGGGTTTATTGTTTTTATAATACTTCATTGTATATAGCATTCAAACAACACATCCTTATACACTTAAAGTATTAATATTTTTGATTCTCTAGAAATTGTCTAGAATATACCTTATTTAGCAAAACAACGTTTGCCGGGTCAGCTAGTATATATATATATAAATATAATATATATATATATATATATATATATATATGTGTGTGTGTGTGTACATACATATAAATTATATATGTATGTACATACTATGTGTATACGCATTCCTAAGTTCATAAATGTATGTGTTAACATATACGCATATGTGTGTATGTGTGTGTGTGTGTGTTCATATATACGAATATGCCTGTATGTATTTATGTATGTGTGTAAAAAAGGGCCCCTCCACGTATATTTTTTTTTTTAAATTACGTAATTATTATGAAATATTTTCGTAATCCATATTACTTAAAATAGGCAAAATTATTACACATTTCTTACATCAATCTTACGTAAAAATGACATATGTATGTAACTTTTTTGCGTAAAAATTACATAAATATTACGGATTTTGGCTTAGTGGGGACTTATTGGTCTGTATGATGTTGTATAGGATGGATCCTTGCCAGGTTTTCGAATCAAGATAATCTTAGCTCTTTTCCAACTAGGTGTTTCAGCATTTGCATCGAGATCTTATCGTATCCTGGTGATTTACCTGATTTGGAATTTGTTATTTCTTTCTTGACTTCTGATAGGGACGTACTCACAAGTACTTTTACAATTTTGTTATTCAACGATTTAAATAGTAATCTCAAGAAATCGGATTAACAAATCACCATATTGGATTTTCGGGCGAAAACATACGTTTATCTTCAAAAAAAGATGGATTTAATATATAATAATAATAATAATGGGTAATACTGCCTATGGTCATTGTCTGCCAACCCACCTAGGGCAGGTCTGTGAGATAAGTCAAACTCCAACTCGATTCAAGGAAAAAGTAGTGTGAGAGTTTTTCCCATGTTTCATTTTAAAGCCGCAAGGCCCGAGATGGGTTTATTATAAATTAGGAATATATATATATATATATATATATATATATATAATTGATAATAGACATATATCCCCCTCAATCTGTAAAGATATAATTATTATATTGACTATTTGTATGTTTACATTAATTCTAAAAAAAGAACAAATGTTAATAAATCAATTCTGAACACTATGCAATTTGCAAGAATTACTATTATTATTCAAATAATATGATTCATATGGATCTCCCATAATATGATAATGTGTAAGCTGAAATAATTTTAACAATAATTAACATCCAATCACATTGTACAAAACATTATATTTTACAAAAGCTAGAGATATATATGTAATAAATTGTACAATAATTAAGAAATTACAAAAGTACATAAATTATTGGTGAGCATACAAACATATGTCACAGATATATATGCATATGTACGTACATATGTATACATATTCTTGAGTTTTTTATTCAATGTTCTTTAATTTTCTTGAAATTAAAATATTTTTAAAAAATGCCTTTCATAAAGTTTATTAAAAATATCTTAATTACATAATATTTATTTTTAATTGGTATGGTTTTGTCTTCTTGTTAACTATCACAATATATAAAATACTTATTTTTATTGAAATGCAAAAAAAAAAAATTATATGATGAATTAAGTTTGTTAACACCAAGGAAAAATTTAGGCAAATAAAAGAGGATTTAACCAATCTTGTATGACTAATTTATTTTCTTTGTATAAAATAATCGGATGACTAGTGCTAAAAGCGTGATTGAAATCGTTCAAGTGCCAAAATGTACAATTTCAGTATTACTTTTTAATTGAACGAATTTACTGCATGCATATATATATATATATATATATATATATATATATATATCTATATATGTATATAAAATTTTATTTCTCAGAAACTTCAGATAGTACACAGAGTACCACATGTCTGTAGTTTATATAAAGAAAGTGAATAATGTTATATATTCACCAAATTATAATTAAATTAACAACCAAAAAATAAGGTTCAATACAATTTTTAAAAATTTTAAATATTCATTTGATGTATAACTTCAAATAATATATTACATAATATTGATATATTCATATCATCAGATATGTAAATAGTAACAAGCATAATATTTAATAACAGTTTCGATAACAAATTAAAGATATAATAATTTAATTATGTTGCTCTAAATATCGATTAATTTTTTATTTTGTTAGTCATGATAGAACTAGGTAAAACTCACAATTTCTGAAATTAGATTGACAATGTTTAATGCATATTAAAGAAAAAATATTACGATCAACTTTTCAAACAATCTCCTAGCTTAAGGACTCATTCAATGCTCTTCTATTCAATCACATTTCAAAAACACTGCACCACAAGTCATGCAATTTATATAGTGCTATGATCATACTAATTTTATCATAAGCATCTTAATATATATACATATTTTGAACATTTTATCTTTGAATACAGCGCGTTTCCAATGATGCAAAATAATGAATATTTTCAAAACAAACTTATAAAATCTAGTGCATTCATCTATAAAGTGACAATTGTTTCACATTAGACATAAAATGTACTCAATTTCCAAATTTACTAACAAAGCTAATGCTGTTCAAAGATTTTAATCGCACAAATTTACAACATTGCAAAAAGTCTGTATTGTCCACTGGGATCATTCATGGCACTTTTAAAAATACAATATAATATATATATTAGTAGCAATTATAAGGATATATAAAGGTGAATTCTAGTAACTACTTCTACTCTGTTGTCGGACCCAGTCTGGCATATAAGATGTGCACCGCAACTCCATTGTCGGACGTGTTCGACATATTACACGTGGACCGCAACTCATTTGTCAAACCCAGTCCGACAACCCTTTACATTCCTGAACGAAATATGACGAGCCAACAACTGTTGGTGATGATGCGAAATTGCTGACTTGTCATATACATAAACAGCCCGAAGTGCTAAGGTTTTTTTCAACAAATATACCCTGAACAAAATACACTGTTTAGCGCTAATATTATCAGATAA